ATTCAGAGTGAAGGGTTCAAAAATAAGGGCTTACACCAAATTTCCTTCAAATTGTGAACCAAAGGTTTTGACACCAGGGTATTTAACTGGCTGGCTGAGAGTCTTGGGTGCCGTGATAACAACTCAAGCTCCACAGATTGCCAATGCCTGCCACAGCTTGCCAGGATGTACTTGTCAATTCGTAGAGGTTTCCCGGTTTAAGCACCTTTAAATCTACTTCCATCCATGACCTATTTATCTCACACTCCCTAAACATACTTGCACTAACAGAAACATGGCTCTCTCCCTCTGATACTGCTACACCTGCCTCACTGTCTTTTGGTGGTCTTCACTTTACCCACAACCCAAGACAAGCAGAGATTAAAGGTGGCGGTGTAGGTTTTCTTCTCTCACCCCACTGCACCTTTAAAACCCTGTCTACCCCCCTTCCCTCTCTTTCCCATCATTTGAAATTCATTCAATTCGCCTTTTCAAACCCTTCTCTGCTAACATTGCCGTAATCTATCGTCCCCCTGGTTCCCCTCTCCTCTTCCTTGACCACTTTGCTGCCTGGCTACCCTACTTCCTCTCTTCCAACATCCCATCCCTAATTCTTGGAGACTTCAATATTCCCATTAACCCACCTTTAACCCCAGCAGCCTCTAAACTACTTTCAATCACTTCCTCCCTTGGACTTTTGCAGTGGGCTAATTCTCCCACTCATGTAGCTGGCAATACCCTTGACCTTATTTTCTCTTCTTCATGTACAATATCTAATATCTGCAACACCCCATTTCCTCTCTCTGATCACCACCTCTTATCATTTGCTCTCAATTACCCCCTCACCCAACAATCTCAGCCTAACCCCCCTCAGCTCAGGAGGAACCTTAACTCTATTGACCTCCAGCAGCTGTCAGCTGACATTGATTCACAACTGCTATCCATCCCTTCCCTCTCCTGTCCCTCACTGGCCATCTCCACATATAACACTACCCTCACATCTGCCTTGAACGCTGCAGCCCCGCTCAAAACATGCACCTCGAGGAGAACACGACCCCAACCTTGGCATAATAAATCAACACGCTATCTGCAGAGTTGCTCCCGTTGTGCTGAACGCTCCTGGAGGAAGTCCCGCACCCAGGCAGACTTTCTCCATTATAGATTCATGTTGCTTTCATACAGCGCAGCCCTCGCCCTCGCCAAACAGTCATACTTTTCCTCTCTCATTAGTTCATGCTCCCGCAATCCCAGACGTCTCTTTGACACCTTTAATTCCCTTCTCCGCCCTGCTGTGGCCACCCCCCAAACTAACCTTACAGCTGATAGCTTTGCATGCTACTTTACCGACAAGATTGAACAGCTAAGGAAACAATTCTCCCCTCCTTGCCGTTCTCTTTCTCAACCACATGTAAATCTTGCTTTCCCTACCCTCCAGACTTTCTACCCGGCTACTGAACAAGAGGTGGCTGCGCTTCTCCATTCCTCTCGCCCCACCACTTGCCCGCTCGATCCTGTCCCATCTCACCTCATCAGATCTCTCTCCCCTTGTCTTGTGCCTACCCTAACACACATCTTTAACTGCTCTCTCTCTTCTGGCACTGTTCCTGCTGACCTTAAACATGCCACTGTAATACCTATCCTGAAAAAAACATCTCTTGACCCATCCTCCCCTTCTAACTATCGTCCCATATCCCTGCTCCCTTTCTCATCAAAGCTTTTGGAAAGGCTTGTCTTTACCCGTGTGTCCCCCTTCCTTAATTCCAACTCTCTCCTTGACCCTCTTCAGTCTGGCTTCCGCCCTCTCCACTCTACTGAGACTGCTCTTATCAAAGTGACTAATGACCTAATCTCCGCTAAATCCTTGGTCCCCTTCTATTTTCTCTTTATACCGCCTCTCTTGGTAAACTGATTGCCTCTTTTGGATTCCACTACCACCTGTACGCTGATGACACTCAGATATACCTCTCCTCCCCGGACCTCTCCCCTGCTGTCCTGCAACGTGTCACTGCTTGTCTTTCTTCCATCTCTGACTGGATGTCTTCACGCTTTCTGAAACTTAACCTCTCTAAAACTGAACTCCTTGTCTTTCCTCCTCCTAATATTGATCCTCCTCTCTCGCTCTCCCTTCAAGTCAGTGATATCCACATAAGTCCATCCCTGCAAGCGCGCTGTCTTGGCGTCATACTTGACTCTGGTCTCACCTTTGAGTCTCACATCCAGTTTGTTGCCAAGTCCTGTAGGTTCCAACTCAAAAACATAGCCCGCATTCGCCCCTTTCTTACGCAAGATGCTACCAAGGAGCTTGTCCATGCTCTAGTAATTTCCCGCATGGATTACTGTAACCCTCTCCTGATTGGTCTCCCCAAAAGCCGTATTGCCCCGCTACAGTCTGTAATGAATGCTGCAGCTAGACTGATTTTCCTCTCTAGTCGGTCCTCTCACACCTCACCCCTCTGCGGGTCCTTACATTGGCTCCCTGTATGCTATAGGAGTCAATTCAAAGTGCTAACCCATACATTTAAAGCACTGAACAGTTCTAGCCCCGCTTATATCTCTTCACTGATCCATAAATATGCCCCTCCACGTACCCTCCGCTCTGCCCGTGACCACCTCCTGACCGCTGCTCGCACCCGTACGGCCAACTCGCGCTTGCAGGACCTCTCGCGGGCGGCTCCTCTCCTATGGAATAGCTTGCCTACTGCCATCAGACTCTCCCCTAGTCTTCAATCATTTAAGAAGGGCCTTAAAACCCATCTCTTCAGGAAAGCTTATGGCCTCCCAGAGTAATCTCTACCTTACATACCTGTCTCATGCTCTCTCCTATGGGACAGTGCTTTGCTCTCTCCTCCAGCTCTGCTTCACTCCTACTTGATATTTATTGTCCTAATGTTTCAAATACCCCACCTCCAATAGTCTGTAAGCTCGTTTGAGCAGGGTCCTCTTCAACCTATTGTTCCTGTAAGTTTTCTTATAATTGTCCTATTTATTGTTACACCCCCCCTCTCAAAATATTGTAAAGCGCTACGGAATCTGTTGGCGCTATATAAATGGCAATAATAATAATAATAACTAGCTAGACCTCGTGGCTATGATGATAATTTTCATAAACCAATTAATCCCCTCTGCCCAAAAATATCTGAATGTCAGGGAAACATTATGTTTTATTATTTTTTACATCTGGAGTATCGAGTTGATCCAATCATAAATGGCAACTCTGTGCCAACCCTGTCACCAGTCCAGTACTGATCTGTTTGATGTAAATTATGTTATGTTATGTTCATGAATTGCAGCCATATAATGTAATTTTTGCAAATTACACCACAATGACAAGTGGAAAGCAGGCTCAAGACATAAGTATACCCAAGCACATTCATTACAGATGCATGGGGTAAATCCTCTGCCCAGTGCCCAAAACATTATTTGCCCACCTTGCTCCATAAAAAGACCAGGTGTGAGATGACAAATCGCAATATGATCATTCTTGGCACAGGTTTCTGTCTGCACGTATTCCTCCGGCTGTCCTGATAAATGTGCTATGGATGTTGCCTGAATACTTGATGCTTAAAAACACCCACAGGGCAGTGTTTATTTCTCAACTCATGGAGAATAAAATATCTATCTGCTAAATATTCTTCTTTTCGTGCACATAGTCTAAATCATATAGATATAATTTTAGCACTGTTATTTCCACCTTATCAAGAAGCATCTCAGCTACTAAATCATTTCAGCCCTTTTTGGAGTTTTATCTAAAGACAAAGACCGTTCACTTAATTTATCTCAATCTCATTGTCGCAACGGTATGAGCAGGCTTTAGAACCATACAGAAAATGTTTAGAGAGAGCAGTTTTCTTGTTCAGGTAGAGATATAGTTTACAATGCTGCCAATAAATATTGTGTTGACAACCTGCATCATTTAACTTTGGAAAACTAATTCAGCTTTGACATGGTGAAATAACAATGACTGGGGAATAAAAAAGATATAACAGGCCCACTGGGTGTTTTTTTATTACTGCACAGGAAAACCTATTTAGCGGGTTGTTTAATTATACTCATACATGTGCGATTTGAGTTCATCCTTAAACAAGGATATTATGATTCATAAAATGTAAACACATACCTATACACTCTGTCTGTGCTCATTTATATAGGTACTGAAATAAAAAAATAAACAGATACATTCAAATTCTATTAAGATTATATGGAAAAAATGTAAGTATTGCATATTTTGCTGTATACATGTGATTTATTCTAACAGTATACCTTGAACATTTAAGATGGTCAATGCAAAGAACTCAAGGCCAACACGTCACAGAAAAAGAAGAGAATAATCATCTAGGAGGCACTCTCATTTCAGTTAGTTGAGCATAGAAGAAAGGTAGAAAACAGACTGTTTTAAAACAAAGTCTAAACCAAAGTATGACTTGTTATTGGAGACTTTCTGTTACTGGATAGGGACATATGCACTACCTTGCCAAAGATTTAGAATATTACTTTAAAAAGAGGCAGGAGCAGAGAGAGATCAAATTTGTCATAACAGGATCACACATCCACATACCTATCTAGTGTCCTTGTTTAGGAGGGACAATCTATATTTTGGTCCCCAATACCCCCATCCCTAAATGTCCTTCTTTTCTAGGAGTTCCATATTGTTGAGGAGTATATAATAGAGCTAAACAGTACTCACAGTAATATATATTTCACCAAAATAAATGTTTTGAAATCAGTCTGTGTAAATATGATACATTCTAGTTCTAAATGACATTTTATTTGCATACATTGTTAGTCGCCTGAAATTTCCCCTGTCCACACCCCCACTCACATCCCTAACATTAAAGTTTTACAATTTGTCCATTTGACATTGTGGAAGGTTTGCTTACTCATGCACTAAAATGTTAATATGGGGGCGTGGCCCGGAAGCCGAAGTACATGGTTGCATGAGCGCTGAGCTCCAGCCCTGACCGGGAGATTAAGGGGTATAACGGCAATAACTAACCTCAAATGGCAGCAGAAAACAGCGTAACATGACAGGGAATCCCCCCACGACCAACCAACCATCAGCCAAAACATCTTTAAGAAGATTATTCGGCGAACAAACGGACCCGCAAAAGCGGGACAAAATGGCGCCCGTGGCACACGCGAGAAGCAGCCAGCCATCCAGCCCGACAGCGTCGGACGGTTCCACGGAGGACCAAGATATCAGGGCAATACTGAATCAACTGCCATCCAAAACAGATCTAGTGGCTATGTTCCAGAAGCTAGAGGACAGCTTCAGTGAAAAACTCCAGACTGTCAGCGCAGATGTCCAGCACCTTAGAGTCAGAGTGCAGGCCCTGGAGGAGGAAATGGAAAACACTTACAAGCAATGGGCTGAGTCTTACACCACACAGGAGATGCATGCTGAAGCAATAAGGTACAAAAAGATATGGAAGGGTTGCGCCAAATAAGGGTAGATAGTCCAGTAAAGTATTGCTAGGGTGCCAATAGATGGTCTAGGATACTTGATAGAGCTCGTCTGTGGATGCGTCTAGTGTAGACCGTTCCGTATATGTAAATACAAGAGAGGTTGAGGCTACTAATGGTATAGTATGAAAGTTCACGGTGTGATAGGTAACAAAAAATAAAGAACTCACATTCAAGAGAGCTATGGCCAGCTCTGGTGTGGATTGCGTACAGCGGTATAATCACCGCTTATGGGATATGTAGGGAGGGGGTCTCCGTCAACACCGTCTGATAGTCCAGAACTCGGAAAAGAAAGACAGAAAGCAACAATAGTGCTCTCAATTTTGATGTGGTTCAATGTGCAGATAAGAAGAGGTAAAAAACTCACATTTGAGGGAGCTATGGCCAGCTCTGGTGTGGATAGCGTACAGCGGTATAATCCCCGCTTATAGGATATGTAGCGGCGATACGTCCGTCAGCACCATCTGGTGATCCAAGGCTCCAATATAGAAGAATAAAAAGCAGCAATAGTGCTCTCAATTGTGATAGGTTAAGAGAGTAGTAGAGAAAATAAAATAATACTCACAAAGATAGAGCTCTATGTACTGCTCTATGGATAGGCTCTGGTGGTATGATCCCCACCTAGGATTTCTTGGAGTACTGGAACTTTAAAATTGCCAGTGGAAGTAAAAGTAACCAGGAAAGGTTAAAATGCCAGGAATAGGTAAAAAAAAGTTGTTTAAAGTGCATAAAGAGTGCAATAAAAAGAGGATTGGCACAATAAAGTAGCCAAAAAACCTTTATTGATCTAAAATACACAGTAAAATACAGAATTAATAACCATAATCATTCATAACCATTTTGGCAATTTTAAAGTTCCACACATCTGCCACGCACTATCCCAGTCGATGAATCACACACACTGGACGAACCGTTCACACAGGCGGAACTACTCTCAACTATTTAGTCCTTACCGAAGGGTAAAAGCCCAGGCCCAGATGGACTGACCGCGATATATTACCAAACACTAACACAAGAGTTATCCCCTCATTTCCTACAAACATTAAACAGCCTGAACCACGACGCTGCACTTCCACCCCCCATGCTACGAGCATTGATTACCATCATCCCTAAACCAGGTAAAGACTCCACAAAATGCGGCAGCTATAGGCCCATCTCACTCATAAATCTCAAATTGATGGCGAAAATTGGATTTGGCCCAAGACTGATGAACTGGATACAGACCCTATATAGGGGGCCCTCAGCCAATGTCAGAGTCAACGGTCAACTATCTACACCCTTTCAAATAAACAACAGCACACGCCAGGGTTGCCCACCCTCCCCCCTATTATTTGTCCTAGCCATGGAGCCATTCCTGACAGCAATTAGGTCCAATACTGATATACAAGGATTTCGGTATCATGGAGGTGAGGTGAAAGTCTCCGCATTTGCGGACGACGTCCTATTTACACTTACGGATCCCATAAAAACCCTACCACATATAAAATCTGAGATCCAAATTTTCGGATCTCTATCGAATTTTAAGATTAACACAGACAAATGCGAGATTCTAGGAATCTCGGTACCCATGGCAATGCAAACTTTACTCCAACAGACGCACACTTTCCCTTGGACCCGGACAGGATTGACATACTTGGGGATCCGACTCACCACATTGCCCAAAGGACTCTAAAAACATAAACTACCCCCCCCCCCCATTGACGATATTAAATGAGACCTTCATAAGTGGGATCTACCTTACATCTCCCTAATGGGCAGGATCAGCGTCTTAAAAATGATGGCCGAAAACACTGTATCTCTTTCAGGCTCTGCCTATTCCACTTCCAGGGACATTTCATTAAATATCTCTTGGGCGGCAAACTGGTAGGACTTGCCTTCACCACACTGATGTCCACCACAGACAGGGGTGGTTTGGGGCTCCCTCACCTATACAAGTATTATGTAGCAGTATTGCTCACCTGATTAAAAGAATGGACAGATATAAGCAGGAAAAAATCGTGGTACAAATTAGAACAGAGCTTTGTATCTGTCCCTCTCCATACTCTACCATGGCAAACATGCCAACTCAAACACCTAGTCCCCTCACGACACCCACTCACTCACAACACACTCACAGTCTGGAGATGACATAAAGACGTGTGGGGATTATCCCCTGGACTTTCGAGATTCTTCCCCATGGCCAATAACTCTGATTTCCAGCAGGGACAGGCTCGCCTCATGAGATCATGCACACCAGACATTAACGAGTTGATACCAAAGGATGATCCACCTACATTCAGGGACAGGCAAGAACCACACAGACAAACCACCCTCCTAGACACTATGGGCAGAGCACAGCTTAAGTGTTTCCTGATGAGAAACGTCCTTCCCTTTGGCGTCGGAGGGGAGACACACTCTTTGAGCTCCTTTGTGGCCCAGAGGGCGACCATAAACGGCTCCTATCTAAAATATACCGTATCCTACAGATGGCGGACAGAGGACTTACGACTCCCCTATTCCAATAGAAATGGATAAAGGACCTCCACATACATTTATCTGATAAGGACTGGTCAGGTATTATGGAGAACCCCAATTAGTGTCACCCGTAAAGAGACCTTCTATAAAAGAATCACCAGATGGTACAGGACACCAGCCCTACTTCACACAATCGGTCCTTCAATCAGTAACATTTGCTGGAGATGTTCAACCAGCACGGGGGACATGGAGCACATCTGGTGGAGCTGCCGGGACATACAAAGTTTCTGGCAACTCATACTCTCTGAGATAACAAAGATACTGGCACCACCGACCCGCTTAACCCCATCCCAGGTACTGCTTAGCTGGCCCCGCACGTTTAGAGAATCCCATAAACAACAATTATTACACCTTCTGCTGGGAGAAGCAAACGCCCTTATCCCACTGTATTGGCGTAAACCCAGTATACCAACCATAGAACAATGGGTACAAAGGGTAGAACGAACGAGAGAGCTGGAAGAAATTCACTGGTCAATAATGGGAAAACGGAGTAGGCACCTTAGAATTTGGGAACCCTGGACAGAGTTTTGGAAAAAACCCAGGCAATGATTGACACCGAGATGGCCCTAATCTAGTTTGAATCCTTAGAAGCTTGGTAAACGAAGCAGGTCATGAAACCGCAATACGATTCTAAATACAAATAGAGTTCAAGGGAAAACACACAATGGCTATCCCATCCCAGGCAGATATCACCCCTCCCTACCATCCCCTATTGTTTGATAACACACCCCGGTTACCCCCCCCCCCACCCTCACACACAGGTAGGATAGGGGACAACCTATGCTTCTCTGAATTTAAACAGGAGACAATTGTCAGTTTTATTGCATAACTTCAACAAAGTACTCAACAATTTGTTTGGAACGTTAATGTTTCTAATGATAAAAGAGTATCAGAGATGCAAATGTTATTGTAAAACCCTAATATGTAATAAGTGAATGCTCCCTTTTCTATTCTGTACCCCATTTCCTTGTCTACAAAAAAATAAAGACAAAAAAAAAAAATGTTAATATATTAAAATGTTAATATATTTATACTTGGTCATTACTATAGTATCAACTTTAGGTAGATTGCCTTAATCCACTGATTCTAGGGTGTCCAACATGCAGCCCATGGGCCAAATTCTGCCCACCGGTCCATTCTGTGGAATTCCTAGGATAGATCATCACCACCGGTCATATTCAGATAGACCCACACAAGAGCTCAACTCCTTGACTGCTTGTTCCCAAGGACAAGTAGGCAGTGCAAGGCTTCTTGGGAGTTTCCAATTTTTTAAACGCTTTATTCAAGGTTTCTCTCACCTGAGTTCATCTATGTACAAATCTCCTTCTTAGAAGATGCATGAATATGCAAACACCTGACAGTATACCACGTTTGACTAACAAACAAGGTCTTTGGTTTTATAAAACACAAATCTTTGTTACTTCTCCCTTACAGCAGGAAGTCGTTGGTTAGTTCCATGACATCCTCTCTGCATGTCATGGTGGTATGACCCAGACTTAACAGAAAATCCATTGCTACTCCTGGTGCCTTCCCTTGCTAAGGATACTCAGGACTATTTTTTCTCATGTGTCACCTGCACCTGGTCCAAGACCCCAAGAACCGAACCCGTCAGCTTGCTATACCATTAATTCCACAGAGTATATGGTCCAATATAGCTATATATTTCATTGTAGAGCTTCCACCCTTAGATGAACATTACACCATCATAGTACTTGTTGACAGATTTACTAAGATGGCGATCTTCCTACCATCTATCTTTTGGCCTCCACATAGAAAAACATGCATCTAAACTTTATCCAAAACTAGGTGCCCTGTACAGAAACAAATCCTGCCAAAGCCCTACAGTAACAGAAAAGATTGTACAGCAAATGCTGATGCCAATCATTGATAATGGGAATGTAGTATATGCACCTGCACCGCAATCCTACCTTAATAAACTCAATACATTGTATAACTCGTTCTGCCGATTTGTGCTACAGTGTAATTACAGGACCCACCATTGTGACATGCTAAAAGAACTAAACTGGTTGTCGCTGGAATCCAGACGCACCCTTCATCTTTCCAGCCTTGTGTTTAAGAGCTTTTTTGGTAAGTTCCCGCCCTACTGAGCAGAATGCTCTCTTTGGCTATTCCCTCCTCCTATAACCCCTGATCCAGTACAGCACTTTATTTAGACTACCTCAATACAAAAAGAAAGCAGCACAAATCTTTGTTGCTCCTCCCTTACCTACAGAGCACCGCAATTATGGAATGACCTCCCACACACTTTAAAATCTTCCCCAAGCCTTTAAGAGATCCCTCTCTACATACCTCAAAACAGAATGCACGTACCATGGTTGATTTATATATTTCC